AAAAGCATTTTAGAAGTGGAGATCTTACTTGTTTAAAGAGAATTATGATTTCAAATCCGTAAGAATAGAAAATAAGTCTTTCCTGAAGATACCAGAGAATAACTGCCTTAAACGGTTATAATTACCGGGCGATTATAATGGAATTCGAAAATACCAAGAAGTTCTTGACGCTCATTAAAAGCTAAATACATTAGCTTATTCATTTGGTTTAAAAATATTTTACATTGTTACCCTGAAAATTCGTAACACTCAGTAGTCAATGGAATACGCAACATTAATCGGACTCTTTTGGATTGTAACAGCCTCAAAATCTTACTTAACTGGGAAAAAGCAGGGAGTTCAGTAGCCTTAGCTTTGATTAGCTGAGAACTAATTATTTGTTTCCAAGTTAGTTTATAGCCTAAAAAACACACTGAAAACAGATGCCATAATTCAATCCAGCATTTTCTCAATTTTCAAGCCGAGTACGCCAGTGTGAGAAATTTGCTGAAGAAATATGCGAATCCAGTCAAACAAAACAAGCGACTCTGCATTGTGGACAGTGCAAGGGGTAGTTGCAATCCGATAATTCCGGCTGGGAAATCCGAGAACTAATCTGATTATAACGGAAAAAATATGTTTGGACCGCCTTTCTCAGTCTTTACGCAGAACACCCTTGATCTGTTTCCTTTTCCTTTCCTTGTGTTATTAAGAATAACTCAAATCTTTCTTTGCCTTTTATTTATTTGAGCTGATATCTGGCATATAGTATTACTATTTATGCCATCGCTAAGTGGCAACGAGCATGGATTTTACCTAAACGTGCGCGCTGTTCAGTTTGTTTAGAAATGTCATGAATTACCGTAATTTACAAAAAATAGTTTGAACTCAATTCGATTGCATGAGCAAAAATTACCCTGAAAATTGTGAACTAAACTGTTCTACTGTATAAAGAATTTGAAATCCTGACTTAACATAGCATATTTTTGGAGATATTGAAGTTCGTGTTTTTGTCCGAAGTTGTGATAGGTGAATTTAGTGGCCATTTAGTGGTCTTCTAAGAGAACTTAGAATCCTCGAAAAATCATATTTAAGTCCGCGAATATTCAACGTACAGATTTAACTTTGGTCTCCTTTTAAAGCTTAGGAAGGCTACTTTTCAGGAAAAAAAAAAAAAGATTTATGGTGCACCGATGAAGCCTTCCGAATTATTTTGCGTCAAGGACATAATACAAGTTTGCGGCGTTATTTGTTGACTTCACACTAGAGCTTCAAGTAAAATGTAAGTGTACTTAATTGGAACCTACTTCGAGTGTGAAGGGGTAAAATGTACCTACTTCAACTTTACTTGGTTACCATGGAAACGTTCGTGGTTCAAAGAAGCAGAATTTCGCCCTGAAGGTGTTTAAAAACGGGCAATAAAATACGTGCAACTTATCTTGCAACATTGCAGCAGAATAAGTTGAATAGCGATGTTTCACGTTTTACCAACCACATCAAACCTGTCTTGCAACAAATTAGATTGTTAACAAGTTTGATCGTAAGTGGTAAAACGCGCAACATCGCTTTTCAACTTGTTCTGCTGCCGAGTTGCAAGACAAGTTTCACGTTTTTTGTTGCCCGTTTTTACGCACCTTGGTAATGTAAGGTAACTTTTGTGACGTAATGCAAAACAGAGAACGCATTGTTTTCGAGCGAACACGTGATACAGAACAGAGAATCCACAAGCCGTGTGCGTGTTTGTGAGTCTCGTGCTCATCCCGTCTTCAATCAATCGTCGGGTGGATTAATTTGCATCATTTGCATCATTTGCATCATACGCGTACAGCTGGCGCATTTGCCGGCTGGAACTTTTTATATTGCCTGCCGCAGAAAAAATAATTGTTGGCACTAGAAGCAAAGTTAGTAGTTCAAGTAAGAACTTGTTCAAGTGCATTTGGAAATCTTAAATCGCTCTATAGAAAACATAGCTTCACACCTGTTGACAAAGTAAATTACTTGAAGTAAACGCTGTCAATAGACCTATTCGGCTAAAGGTACGGAAAAACGGGCAACAAAAAACAAGCAACTTGTTTTGCAACATTGTTGCAAAAACAAGTTGAAAAAAACATTGTTTCAAAACAAGTTGAATAACGATGTTGCGCGTTATACCACCCACATCAAACCTGCCTTACAACAAATCAGGTTGTTAATAGGTTTGAACATGGGTGGTAATTAAAACGCTTAGCATCGCCATTCGACTCGTTTTGCAGCAATGTTGCAAATCAAGTTGCACGTTTTTTGTTGCCCGTTTTTCGATACCTTTTTGTTACATCGACTCGAGATTCATTCTGCCTTGGACATCCGCACACGGCTTTATAAGGCTGCCGCCACGAAGCCTCGCGTCTTCGCGAGGCTGCTCGTTGGCAATAAAGAGGACTGGAGTTATTGATTGACTTATTAACTCCTTCTAAGGTCGACTGAGATCGAAAAACCGTTAGCGGACATTCCATTCTATACAGTGTATCTACTTTTAGGAAAAGGTTCTGCTCTCTAGCTTCAATTGGCGGAATAATTTTTGCATATGGTCTACATGCACTTGCTCAAAGTGTAAAATTACAAACCTTGACTCTCCTCTCAGGCTTAAAATTGAAAATGCTGCGGAAAATATCTTTTGTTGTCTAATCCTCTGCCACTTGCGTACTGAACAAAAAATGTGCTCTTTGATGTCTCGACTCCTTTTTTACGCCACAGTCCCCTCTACTACTGTGATTAGGCTTTCCCGTATAAATTTTGCATCTTCTTTAATTTGTAGTGAACCCCTAAAAATCTGGTTCTAAATGCATAGAATAGCCTTTTTTACTGATCTAGCTTAAGCAAAAGAGCTTAACAGACTAACTCAACAGATAGTACAACAATCCAATTACTTCTGTATCTTCTGCTGAGAAACACAAAAATTATGTTGACCTCGATCCAACTGTTATCAGTTAAAGTTTTTCAGGCAATTGTTTCTAATCGCGAGTTTTCCTGACCCATCGCTGTTAATCTGTCCAAAGTTCGGACATTGAGGCGTTGAGTCAGCCGANATCTTCTGCTGAGAAACACAAAAATTATGTTGACCTCGATCCAACTGTTATCAGTTAAAGTTTTTCAGGCAATTGTTTCTAATCGCGAGTTTTCCTGACCCATCGCTGTTAATCTGTCCAAAGTTCGGACATTGAGGCGTTGAGTCAGCCGATTATAAGACTTGGTAGATAAAAAATCGGATCAGTTCTGCGCGTTCTGGAAAACAAAAATTTTCTTCGCTTTTTAAATACATTTGTTATCAGCAAGAGAGAGGAGAGCTAAGTTTTCGCATAAGTGCCTAAGCGTCCTGTCCTTATCCCGACTCGGCGTTATCATGGAAAAAAGAACAGAACTGGATTTGTCTTGGGATTGAAATACTATTTAAGAAAATTAAAAGTAGCCTTCTCTTTTTCTTGAACACTAATTTAATTAACGCAGTTTCTTCAACCAACTCGTAGTGCGTGACGCCTACTCACGGTCCACGGGAAAATATACCTTGGACCAGGGGCAGGTTCTCAAAAGTCCCGGATAATTAGGGGACCCAGCAAGCTCTTGTTGTTTGTGTTCAAGACCGAGATTTCAATAGATTTGCCTTCAATTTTAAGTATCTAAAAGGTGTCCAAAGAAACTGTATTCTTATCCATTTTCAATTTTGCAAACCGTAGCATCTAAGCTTTGTTCGCCATGTGAACTGCCAAGAAGGCATTCATTTGTCTTTCTCAGATGAACAAAGTCGAGTCCGTAGAATCTAATTCTCTTTACCTTTTGGCTATTTTTGGAAAAAATATTTATGCAGACTATGACGTCATACACTTGTTACCCGCAAAGATTTGTGGATCTTAATCTTACAGCCATTTCAGCCATGAACAATTAATGGTGACCACTAACTTTATCGCCGATCCATAAAGTTAATAACTCAGAAAAGTGCCCGATTGCTGAGTATGATTTGATTTTAGAACTGAAGTTAGTTCTGCCACTGAGCGGGTAGGTGGTTGATATGTTAGTTCATGGTTTTCGCTTGCATCTCTCGGTCAGGCGTCATGAGTGCCGTTTAATCGGTTTCAACGATCATTTAATAGCATCATTAGCTCATATAGCGCCTTCCAAGCTTAATAATTTGAATTATCGCGTATGGGGCACCTACGAGTGACCTACTACATGATAGCAAGATTTCATGTAGTTTCTTTCATTATATAGTTATATTTTTGTAGTTTATCGCATTAAGCGTTTTATTGCTCTTCAGTAAATCTGGCGTTCTTATTCTCAAGTAACTCTTTGTTTTCTTCTAAACAGGTTGACTGCACTTTTAGTCGCCTAGCGCATAAGTTTATATATTCCTATATTTTACAAGGCACTTAGATACTGTAATACCAATGGACATCTTGATGGAAGACGGCTAAAAAAAGCAAAGCAGACAAAAAAAAATTTAAATCAAACAACCGACTTAAATAAAAATAACTCAACGAATTAACTCGGAAAACTGTTTCTTTTGTTGGCTGACGTGAAAGAAACCAGAACCCTCTTTTAAAGTTTTACCGCCTTTAAAACATTTTCACTTCTTTCTCCGCAGATCGAGTGATCATGGAATATTTCCAGGTTCTTTTGTTTTTGAAGCTAGTTGTCGTAGTAAAGGTTAGTAAAAATAAAATTTATTACAACCGGCTTTAGCCATGATTGAGACAGGATAATAAACTTTACGAAGAATCCAACTGTTGCTTGAAAGACACTAGAGGATATTTTATGAGTTTTTTTTTATATTTTCTAGCTTTAGAGCCCCTTTGTCACTCGTAAGGATCTTGAACCTGCTCATACCTGCTGCAGCTGCAGGTGTCCTGCGCGCACGAAAGCTCTCGTGGCATGGGGTACACGTAATTTAGACGTTGTTAGCAAGGACCAGCAAAACAAAACAAATGGGCCAGGTCCAAACACAGGATATNTAAAACATTTTCACTTCTTTCTCCGCAGATCGAGTGATCATGGAATATTTCCAGGTTCTTTTGTTTTTGAAGCTAGTTGTCGTAGTAAAGGTTAGTAAAAATAAAATTTATTACAACCGGCTTTAGCCATGATTGAGACAGGATAATAAACTTTACGAAGAATCCAACTGTTGCTTGAAAGACACTAGAGGATATTTTATGAGTTTTTTTTTATATTTTCTAGCTTTAGAGCCCCTTTGTCACTCGTAAGGATCTTGAACCTGCTCATACCTGCTGCAGCTGCAGGTGTCCTGCGCGCACGAAAGCTCTCGTGGCATGGGGTACACGTAATTTAGACGTTGTTAGCAAGGACCAGCAAAACAAAACAAATGGGCCAGGTCCAAACACAGGATATTATTGCCAAGGCCAAAAGCGAGGTTCTCGTTGGATCTTTTAAGAAATGTTTTTCTGTAGTAAGTCAACTTTCGCCAACTGGCAAAAAGCAAACTGGATTTCTCCTAAAAAAGGGAACTTAAGCTGCGATCAATTGAAAACCAATAATTGGTCAGCGAAAAACTTTACATAGATGTCCAATAACCCTATTAAGCAATCTCAAGTAAGCTGTTACTTGTTAAAATCTTATAAATTCATATTTCTCTGTTTAGCTCGTTCAAATTCCCAGAGAGCAATGGCCTCGACTTGGTGATGAAGTGACCCAAGACATTCTTGATTCTGTCCAAGCATTCGACCTTCTCAACGAGGAACTACATCTGGGGTTTTTCATCAGGGGTGTATCCGGTCCTCCAGGAGCCTCGGGACCAAAAGGTCCAATGGGTTCTCCCGGACTTACGGGTTCTCCGGGTTTGCCAGGTTGGCAAGGACCTCCTGGTAAACTTGGTCAACGGGGACTGACCGGACCACGCGGACCTCCTGGTCCTCCTGGGCCCCCAGGGATAAAAGGTGACATAGGACTAGGCGGATTGCCAGGACAAGTCGGATTTCCAGGATCCCCAGGAAATCCTACGTGGCAGATACAAACGGAGATATTTACACCTTACTATACTGTGGAAACGGTAGGTTGAAACAGGTTGCGTAATTACGACATGATTGTATGAAATCATTGATCAGGGAACTTAAGTTAACTAGCCCGCCAGTTGCGTTCTTTATCCCATATCCTTTCACCTTTGCTTTACCAGGATCCCATAAGCTCCTGGCTTTACACAATGTTACTTATACAGCTTCAGTCAAGGATTTTTTTAAATATCTTTATTTTACAGAACGTGACAGTGATATGCGCTGGCAAACGTGCGTTACTACAATGCAATCCTGGCAAGATGGTCAAAGTAACGCAAGCTCGGTGGGGAGATGATACCTCCGTGCCGTGTGCAAACTCCACATATCCTGGCACAGTCCTTCTACCGCGGACAACTACTATAGACTCAAGTCAGGTGACAGACCAAGTAAGGAACCGCTGCTCAAAGCAACAGAAATGTGAAGTGGAAGCAAGCGGTCCTTTTCTTGGCGAAGGAACTGTTGGTATTCCAAGTTCCGCAAAGTACCTCAGAGTCTGGCATGAGTGCATTCCTGATGCCTCTGACATCTTGACTTCGTGGAGAGCAAAAAGAGACGTCAGAATGCAAAGAAGAGGATTCTCCGCTTTTAAATCGAGTGGCACTGGATCCGAACGTCCGAAGTCGTACGAGGAGGGCTTAGGAACTAGTGGTTCCTTAGAGGTGCAGCAGAGCTTTTTGGAGGGCAAAAGCAACAAGCAAATAATAGCCAATAGGAATGAATCCGTGGCAAGAAAGGAAAAGAGGAACGGCGGAAGTCAGGAGAGTGCAAATTTGGCCAGAATGCTGGATAAACTGTTAGCACCATCTTCTCTAAACAAGTGAATGTAAAGAAGAGAAAAGATATCTCACAAGTGTAAATAAGTCATGAGTAGTTTCGAATTATCGTAGTCATCCTATAGGCCGAACGGTTGTCTACATATCGAATCCCTAGGAGTTGGGTAACTCCCCTCTGTTATACTGACATTCAAGGGATGCTTGAATACCGGAGGTATGGAAGCCTCATCGAGTATTCAAGCTGTAGTGATTGGATAAAAATTAGCAGTTAAGGGGTCGGCCTCTTATTAATAACGCAATTTTGTCACTACCGCCACATAAAAAAGTATGAGAACTGTTGGCAGTGAAATACGTTCTGATGAATGTTATAAATAAATTTGGTGAATAGATCATTCTTTTATGCTGTCGTTTCTTCCACGTTATTTTTCGGAAAACTTCTGATTTTTGTGTTTGGTTTGTGGCGCGCCAGTACATTTCCGACCCACACTATCTACCGTGAAGTTTAATTCACTATCTGACATGTAGATTGTAAGAACTTAAAATAAATAGGAAGTTGAGCGCTTTTAGCTCTCCCCAGTTAGGAAAACGGAGTTTAGAGGTGGGTGTAGCACACTTGACATCTTTGTTTATTCGTGACTTACAGTTTTATGGCTATCATTTGGTCTAAAACAACTAAAACAATTTGGTCTAAGACAACTCGACGTCGGGCAAGTGATTAAAAAACGTCTCATACTGATAGGCACTTGTTTTAAGATGACAGTGAGAAAACAGCCGACATTTCGCGCTGCAACAACTGGTTTCCCCGCGAAATGACGCCTGAGAAACGAGCGCAGAAATTCCATACTGATGACGCGTCACTACCCAGATCTGGGCTGAGTGATTTGTTTGATCGTGCCGCGAGGGAAATTTGCCTCAACCATCTGGAAAGTGATCATGAAAAGTCATCAGTGGAATTCCTGCGCTTGCTCCTTATACGAACCGCGAGATGTCGGCTGTTTTCTCAGGCCAATTTTGAGATTGGTTGGCACTCCGTATATTTTTGCAAATATCAGATGTAAAATGCGAGAAGTGTCGGTAATCTAGCCTGAAATTTCATCCGATTACTTCGAGTCGTTATTACTCCCTCAATAGTTGCTGAGAGGAGAAAACGACTCGAATTCAGGCTACCTACGAAAAGGGCTGGCACTAGCACCCAGTCTTTCCCCTCCTTTCTTGGCGGGAAAGTTGTAAACATGGCGGAATCCGTGACGATATGTCGATGCGACGATCATGAAACGCAATAGACGAACTTTCTGATAGAAAACAACAAATATGATTGGCGCAAGTAAGTAAAATTATGTTTTCATCAGTTAAAAATTCTTTTGGGAGCTAAATACACCTTTTAGTTTGGTAATCGATGTTTTTTAATCACTTGCCCGACGTCGAGTTGTCTTGCGCGAGGTACGTTCTAGAGATGAATCATTTTCTGCTGCTTGATCTTGAATTCTAATCCATAGAAGCAATGAAAGAGCTTTCACTTCTAAAGCGAGAGTTGAAATGCTGGGAAAATATGTTTGAACGAACACATGGCCGAAAACCAAACAAGGTAAGCTTAACTTAATTCAAGCTTGGGTCTGTAAATCTGAACACACGCTTAAGCTCATTCTTCACTTTGAGCAAGATAGGCGGTAAAATTAAAACATACAGTATTTCAGGGAGCTTTTCAGGCTTTTCAGGCAACCAAAGCAGTAGAAGTTCACTTTAAGATTCATTAAGTTCAATTATTATCATCAAATAACACAATATTAATGACAGAAAGGGAGGAACATTGTTAAAATGTGCATACTTATGGAATAACGTATATCCTTTATTTTACCCCCCAGGGGGCTTATTTATTTCTAAACACTTTTTGATGGGGGGGGGGGGGGGGGCTTTTTTGAGAGGGATGGCTTATTTGATTTAGCAAAGATGGAGGTATCATTTCTCTATAAAGGACTGGAATGCAAAGTGGAAAAGTTCAAGAACAAGAAGTTAGAGGTCATGCAGCTGAGGCCGATCAAAAACAAATCTGCACGTCTAACACATGAATAAATCATCGTGGATATGTCCAAATGAAGTTTTACAGTTGTAATTGATTAATACAGTCTATCATTAGGGAAGAATATTAAGGTTGTAGAGGAGGGGGGGGGGGCGCTTAAAAGGGAGGGAGGACTTAGTTTATTAACTTTCTTCCCCTTAAAAGGGGGGCTTATTTGAGAGAGGGGGCTTAATAGAGGATTTATGGTATTCAAAATCAAGATCTGTCCGTAAGATGTATTTACTTGACTTAAACTGGATCCTTATTGGCTGTTTCCAGGATGATATCAGTGTTGGACCAGCGGAAATAAGAGGTATGGCCATTCTTAGTGCACGTCAGTTGCAATTTATTCTTTTTTAAAAACATTGCATCATCAGGATAATAATGATTTTGAAACAGGCAGTGTTTGGGAAATCGTATTCAGCTCTAGTCAGGTACTGAATACATTTCTCAGATCATACCTTATTAGCTTATGTGTTACACTTTTGATTTGCGTTTTAAGCAAAAAAAAAATTAAGGGCATGAAGGAGAAAGGAAATTAGAATGAAATTACATAGTTTAGCTCAAACTGTACATATGTATGACACAACAAGACAGCTTTTTATAAAGGGTGTACTCAGTAAGAATTCAGATTTGCTTTTTTGCACTCTGCCTTACCACCCTTGTATTCTCCATCTGAATTATAGAATCATATCGAAAGTACCGAGAGTTGAAGGAGTCAGTGTCCAAGAAATCAAAAGAAGATAACAAACAGGTATAATTTATCTTGTTGGAACAGGAACGCGTTTTCTTAAAACTTTGGTATACAGTAGTTAATGTTATAAAGCATCCATTGTCCAATATTTAAACGAGGGCAAGACATTAACATTTGCCAGACATTCATAGAAATGAATTTTAGTTATACCCCATGTACCTGTATGGGCTTCCCTGGTTAGGAACTGATAATAGAATGATTGGGCAGATAATTTTCAGCAAAGGAACTTTTCAGTATAAAATGTGTATTGATATAAATATGTCTAATTTTTGTATTTTTTCAGCTTGTGTATTGTGTAATTATGTAACTTGGCCTGCCTCAACTAGCCTTACTATCTGCAGGCCAGTCCTAAATATTCCTTGTAATTTATTTGTGAATTCAAATAAAAGTTGAAAGTTGAATTCACTCTTGTTAGGGAGAAGATGATGTTTTTGGCAAGAACTTGAATAAGAAAAAGGAAGAGGAAAAGAAATCATCACTGCCTTTTCGGAAAAAAGATTGGGCTGACATCACACCTGTGAGGTTGTGTCATGGACAAAGGCCTAAGAAAAAAGACTCGCCAAAAGAAATTGCCATCGAGGACAATGTTGACAAGGTTTGTTTAGTCCTGCTCTGATAAAGTTCATACTAAAATTATATCCTAGCAGTCTAGGGCTTAAAAAAACTTAAATTCCAGCTGGTCCTTTGGGCAAGCAGCTCTCACATTTTGTTTACCTGGTACCTCTTCTTGTCACCGTAGTTAATGATTTTGTTTGAGGATGACTTGTTTTGACCCTTGCCCAATGGGTAAACAAGCTTTAAGAGTTACTTGCCCAGCAAGAAAATCTACTTGTCCCGGAATACCAGACAAGACTTTTTTTTTTAAGCTCTTTAGCACTGTGGGTGTTGCGGCACCATGTTTCACCTTGTATTTTGGGTGCTGTACTGGCATGGAAAGGTGGTCTGCAGTGCCTACAGGCTCTAGCTTACTGGTATGCATCAACACCTTTGCATAAGATTTGTATAGCGACTCACCATGGGAAATATTGGCCATGACAAACAATAGTGTTGGGTGGAAGAAAATCTTCCATAGTTATGTACAAATTTGTGTAAGTGCACTATTTGCAACTTGACCAATAACAGTGATGATGTACATGAAGGTGGTGTGTAGACTTAATGAAAAGTATCTATGACAGACAATAAATGTTTATTTAACATGATTATTGAAGTGCACCATTTTAGAATACATATACTTATTGCTTCATGTGTAAAAGTTCACCTCTCACCTATAATAAACTTGTGATATATTATTCTAAATACAATTCTCACTAAAGTGACCAAGTGATGCAATGAAAGTAAAAAAAAAAATTGTGAATGCGACAATAATCCTTTTGCAGTTTTCTAGACAGTAGTCACCATCAACATTGCTTTTTTTTCTTGAACTACTGGAACAAACAACTATTGATACATTGTTCTTTATTTTCCATGAACTTGCAGTATGACATTGACTGTCTCTATTTGCTTCTCCATACTCTTATAATTTCCTTCCTTTTTTGTGGCCAGAATAACATTTTAGATGCCTCAAGTGAAGGAGACAAGAAAGAGCAAACCTTGAGTATCGGTACTGACATTCCAGAAGTTAAAGTAACAGACACCTCTGAGCGTAAAGTAATTTCCCCTGCCCAGATGAATTTTGGGTAAATATGACTATTCTATTATGTTAACTTGATTAATTCACTAGTGTTCAGTTTACAGCTTGTCAGTTTTCAAGATTCTTTAGGGGTTGGGAAGTACAGAATTTGCTTCTTGTGGTTACAACATCAGAAGTTTGAGTATTAAAACTATTATTTTTCTTTGTAAATAAAAAAAAAGCAAGCAATGCTTCCAGTAGGAAAACTCTGAAAGAAAAATGTATCTTTTTGTTGAATATCAACAGCTCAAGGATACTCTTTCCTGGACATCACATAAGAAATACCAGTGTCAAGAAAAGGGAAGCCATTTCTTCAGTTTGGCTGGAAAAGTACAAACCTGAGCTACCTGAGAATTCTCTGTGTAATGATGTTTCACATTCCGATGATTTGGTCAAAAACGACTGTAGTTCTGATAAACTTTCTCTTAATGAGCATAACTTCACTACCAAACAAATTAACAATGAGGACAATTCTCCATCAGTGACTATGCCAAGTGAAAGTTCTTGCCCAGCAGCAAAAGAAATGGTGGATGATCAGGCAAACCCACATAATTTAAGTATTACAGAGA